ATAGAGGGGGGGGGCCCCCAAGGGTACCGGGAGGGGGCCCCCAAGGTATACAAGGATGGATAAGAGAGGCAGAGGCAGCAGCAGCAGCAGCAAATGGAGCAACAATGCACCAGCAGCAGCAGCAGCAGCACGACCAGCACGAACAGAGGGAGCAGCAGGAACCACTTGGAGAGCAAGGGATGCTGCAGCAGCAGCAGCAACAGCAGCAGGAGGGTCATCTGCAGCACCAACAGTACATGCAGCAACACATGCAGCAGCAACAGCAGCAGCAACAGCAGCAGCAGCAGCAGCAGCACGAAAACAGTGACAAGGGTTTAGAAGGAGTTCGCGCTGTCTCTAGAATACCCTTACCACCAGGTAGGAGGCCAAGCTGCAGCAGCAGCAGCAGCAGCAGCAGCAGCAGCAGCAGCAGCAGCAGCAGCACCATTTACTGCAGGGGACAGCAGCAGCAACAACAGCAGCAGCGGCAGCGGCAGCAAGCTACCCCAACATCCGGTGCAGCAGCTGCAGCAAGAGGGGCGTCCAGCAGCAGGCGACGCAGCACAGCTGTCCCCCCTGTGGGACCCTCAGCAGCAGCAGCAACAGCAGCAACAGCAGCAACAGCAGCAGAACAGAGCAGCAGGAGGAGACTTAGTCAGCAGCAAAGGAGAAACAGCAAAACACAAGAGACATTTGTCTCTCTTACTAACAACTCGGTAAACCTTTATAACATATAATGCTGCTGCTGCTGCTGCTGCTGCTGCTGCTAGTGTTGCTGCTGCTGCTGCTGCTGCTTCTTGTGCCCCACAGGAGGAGATAGGGTTTGTTGTTTTGTTTGTTTTTAGGGGCAACATCGTCATAATAGGCAAAGCCTAATTTGCAGCAGCAGCAGCAACAGCAACAGCAGCAACAGCAGCAGCAGCAGCAGCAAACCCTCAAAGGATACAATCCAAACCCCACAGGTGCAGCAGCAAAACCCTCAGCAAGGTAAACCCTCACGGCCTCTCTCTTTCTTTAAATGGTTGGAGCAGGTGGAGCAGCAGCAGCAGCAGCAGAAAGGCAGCAGCAGCAGCAGCAGCAGCAGCAGCAACAGCAGCAGCAGCAACTTGGCGCCAACTGCAGAGAGAGACACAAACTGCGCAGAAGAGGACACAGAGAATATTAATTCAAATACTGCAGCAGCAGCAGCAACAGCAACAGCAGCAGCAGCAGCAGCAACAGCAGCAACAGGCGTAAGTATACTTAGCAGGAGCTACTCTTGCTGCTCTCTCTTTCTCCCTCCTTCCTCAATCCCTCTATTTTAGGGCTTAGGGTTTAGGGTTTAGGGTTTAGGGTTTAGGGTTTGTGATAGTATGCTATATCTGCATTTATCTTTTTCCTTTTTTTTGTCTCTTTTTTACATAAATACATTTATTTATTTATTTATTTATTTATTTATTTATTTATTTATTTATTTATTTATTTATTTATTTATTTATTTGGTAATAAAAGATCTACGTAGTCATCTAGAGACAAAAGATTTTAAATTATATGATATTATACTTGGCGCAGGAAGGTAAGCAGCAGCAGCAGCAGCAGCAGCAGCAGCAGCAGCAGCAGCAGCAGCAGCAACAGCAGCAGAAGCAGCAGCTAGAGCAGCAGCTAGAGCAGCAGAAGCAGCAAAAGGAGATAAAGGAGAAGAAGAGAGACAAATAAGAAATACAATAACGCTATAATGCTGCTGCCGTTTTTGCTGCGTCTGCTGCTCCTGCTGCTGTTGCTGCTGCTGCTGTTGCTGCTGCTGCTGCTGCTGCTGCAGGACAAGCAAAGTAGTGTTAGCTCGTTGTGTTGGTGGTCCGTTAGTTGGCGAGGGTTTAGGGAATGAGGGTTTAGTAGCATTAAAGATATTAAACAAAACCCTAATTTCCTCATTAGGCATGAGGGAACAAATAAGAAAAGAAAGATCTATTCATGCAGCAATTAGGTCTGTATAAACCCTAAACCCTAAACCCTAAACCCTAAATATATTAAAGAGCAAACAAAACCAGTCATTTATATACCCAACACGTCTACTCAAACCCTAAACCCTAAACCCTAAACCCTAACACGTCATGATAAACCCTAAACCCTAAAGCGTGCAGCTGCAGCAAGTTATAAACCCTAAACCCTAAACCCCAGGTTCTGCCGAACCCTAAACCCTAGCTGCACTCATTATCCTCCTGATACCTGTTCTTGTACATTCACCTCTTCCTTCCTCTCAAGGGTTTAGGGTTTAGGGTTTAGGGTTTGTGTGCAGACACCCGAATATAATTCGTTTCTTGGGGTCTTTTGAGGATGAAGAACATTTAGTGTTTGTCCTTGAATATGCAAATAGAGGAACACTACGTCATCGATTGAGGTTAGGGTTTAGGGTTTAGGGTTTAGGGTTTAGGGTTTAGGGTTTGTGGGTGTCTGCAATATACACAATGAGAGGGTTTCTAGGGTTTAGGGTTTTCAGTGTTTTTAGGATTTAGGGTTTAGGGTTTAGGGTTTGTTCTTCTGTTTGGTTGGCTATATTCCCCATCTTCTGCTTTCTTCCTTTGCTGCTGCTGCTCTTGCTGCTGCTGCTGCTGCTGCTGCTGCTGCTGCTGCTGTTTAGAGATGCTGGAGGACCGCTGCCCGAAGCAGAAGCCGCTGTGGTACGTCTCTATGGTGCTGCTGTGCTCAGCAGCAGAAGCAACAGCAGCAGCAGCAGCAACAGCAGCAGTAGCAGCAGCAACTGCAGCACCGCGCGCCCGCAGGCCCCAAGAATATGCATGCAGGCTTGAGCGGTCTAGGGTTTAGGGTTTAGGGTTTAGGGTTTTGTGTTGTGTGTTATGCAGTATATCCAACAAATAGCAGCAGCATTAGCACATCTGCATGCAAATAACATTATACATAGAGGTAATAAACCCTAAACCCTAAACCCTAAACCCTAGAATGGGACTATTGGTTAATTACTAATTAGGGTTTAGGGTTTAGGGTTTAGGGTTTGGAGATGAGGGTTTGCGTCTGCAGATGTAAAACCAGAGAATATCTTCCTTCATTCCTCAGACCCTTCAGGTTTGTTGCCCATTTGCTGCTGCTGCTGCTGCTGCTGCTGCTGCTGCTGCTGCTGTTGTTGTTGTTGCTGCTGCTGTTGCTGTTGCTGCTGCAGCAACAGCATCCATGAGTAGGGTTTAGGGTTGAGTGTTTAGGCCTTGTAGTGCAGACAGCCAGGAGATAAATAAATATAAATAAATTAAATAAAATAATATATTTATTTATTTATTTATTTATTTATTTATTTATTTATTTATTTATTTAGTTTATTTAACGGCCTTGTTGGGGGATTTTGGATTTTCTTCTTCTGTTGGCGGAAGACAAAAAAGGCAAACATTTTGTGGTACTCTTTCTTGTAAGTTAGGGTTTAGGGTTTAGGGTTTAGGGTTTAGGGTTTAGGGTTTTTTTTTAAGGGTTTATTTAGGTGGTATTGGTAGTGTAAGGGTTTATAGTGTTATAAGTGTTTACTGTTTACTATATTTAGGGTTTATTATGTCTAGTGTTTCGGCCTTTTTAGGGTTTTTAGTATTTTTAGGGTTTAGGGTTTAGGGTTTAGGGTTTAGGGTTTGTGTACAGATTTAGCCCCTGAATTATTTGGTGTTAGTCATGAGAGAGGGGCAGATGTATTTAGTTTAGGTTTATGTCTATGGGTCATTCTTACGGGGACGCATCCGATCCCTGCTGCTGCTGCTGCTGCTGCTGCAGCAGCAGCAACAGCAGACACACAGCAGCAGCAGCAGCAGCAAATCTTGCTGCAGCAGCAGCAGCAAAAGTTGGAGTTTGTCTTTGGACCAGAGGTTGCTATTGACGCACAAGATCTAATTAAGAAGGTAAATTATCCATGCATAATAATAAACCCTAAACCCTAAACCCTAAACCCTAAACCCTAGGAGTGCCAAGGAAGGTAAGGGGAGTTTACATATATAGAGTTGAGGGTTTGGGGTTTAGGGTTTAGACATTCAAACTATTGCTTAAGGTTAGAAGTCTAGGGTTTAGCTTTTTAGGGTTTAGGGTTTAGGGTTTTAGGGTTTTAGGGTTTAGGGTTTTAGGGTTTAGGGTTTAGGGTTTAGGGTTTTGGTGCTCAGATGTGTGCTCACGACCCCGAAGACCGCATAACTGCAGCAGAAGTGTTACAGCATCCATGGATATGCAGACTAATAAACCCTAAACCCTAAACCCTAGCGTAAACCCTAGTGTTTTATATTTAAGGATTTAGGGTTTAGGGTTTATTTCTATTCTTTTTTTTCCTCTTTATAGAGGAAAAAAGAAAAAATATTTATTTTATTATTTTTTATTTATATATTAATTTATTTTAATTATATAAATAAATATATTTATTTATTTATTTATTTATTTACTCATTTATTTATTTATTTATTTATTTATTTATATATTTATTTATTTATTTAGTAAATATAAATAATAAAGGTAGCTAAGAGGCAAATAAGAATAAATAAATAAATAAATAAATAAATAAATAAATAAATAAATAAATAAATAAATAAATAAATAAATATAAATAAATAAATAAAATATAAATAACTAAAATATAAATAAATAAAAAAGAATAAAAATAAATTAAATTTGTTATAACAAACAAAAGAAGAAAAAGAGTTTGTCGTTAACACCCGCAAGGGTTTAGGGTTTAGGGTTTAGGGTTTAGCCTAGCTGAATAGGCAGAAAGTTCTCCCTAGACCCTTGCATGAATATAAACAAGAGAATTAGGGTTTAGGGTTTAGGGTATAGATTTAATTAGGGTTAATGAGTGTATATTATTGACATATATAGGATGCCCTTCTCTGCTGCCCGTTATCTTATAGTAAACCCTAATTTAGGGTTTAGGGTTTAGGGTTTAGGGTTAATTATAGTGAATAATATAGATACAATAGAGGTATTTCTCCAATTGTATTCCTCTCGTAAACCCTTTCTTCCTCTATCCTAAACCCTAAACCCTAAATTGTAGATGGTAAACCCTAATTTAG